GATTTAGCAAAGGAAGGGGAAGATTTTGAGCGATTAGGGCAGAGGTCTCTCTCCTAGACATCTATCTCTAGGCCTTTCAGTCCCCCCAACTTCTCCCTGATCTACCTTCCTCAACCAGGCAGGTGGTCAAAAATAAGTAGATAGTCACTCCAGAAGCTGAAGCCCATCCCTTGAAAACTTTTTGAGACCAGGTGTGGTGGCTTATGTCAGTCATCCCAACACTTACGAGGTTGAGGCCAGAGGATGACCATAAATTTGAGATTAATTTAGGCTTCACAGTGAGTTCTGGGCCAGCCTGGGTTACAGAGTAAGATCCTGTTTTTGTTTTGGCTTGTTCTTTGCAAAAAAAAAGACTGTAGGAGACCTCAAGCAGACCACGAAATCTGTTTATCAGCCTCTGCACCCATTGCTGCGCTGGTTCTGTAAGTGGAAGCGGCAGAAGTGTGGCAGGAAGCAAGCACAAGCAACATTCAGTTCTGCTTTTCCTTCCCAGTCTTGACATAGGAGGATAAAAGGCACAGTATGAGTCATTTTCTAAAGGCATCCCATACCCTGCTGATTCTGACAACATGCCTCTGCAGATCATTAATGTGTTTCCAAGCAGATCATTTTGTAGGAAGCATTCATTTACCTTTATTATTAAGATACGTGTGTTTCACTGGAAGCATCAGCTCTGAGGCCTATAAAGCACATGATAGGAACAGCAGATGGAAGGAGTATTCTGTCCATGGACCATGAGCAGGCAGGCTCGCCATATCAAATAGTGATGGAATCACAGGAAATACAATTGAAAACACACTCAAAATGTGTTACATAAAATAATTTACTTCTCATTCGGAAGGACCTTCCAGACCTATAGTCTGTGAGTACAGGTAGAATCTGAAAGTCATGATAATATTAGGGAATGACCAAAGATTTGTACATTTGGAACCAGGAGTCAACTACAAACAAGATTGTGGAATTGTATATAACATAAAAAGGGGACATTGATGAGAGACTTCGGGGGGACATTACAAGCAAGACTGCCAGAGAGACAAGGGGGTACAGTTAGAAAACCTACATCATTAATACAATGAGACTTGTGTACACACTACTCCAGTATTGTCATTTTGCAGCCCAGTGCATTGGCTTACTAGCCACAAAGGTGCTCGTGCATGTAATTTAAACTGGAGCAATGGGTGAGGTGTGTGCATGAGTGTGTGCGTGCTTTCAAAGGCAGTATTTTAGATGAATGAGAAGAAAAATACATCCTGGGCATTCTTGAGTAATTCAGGTAATACCCCATACCTCCATTTAGAAAACAAGACAATAATAAAAACATTGTACAAAACAACATCATAAATAACACAAATGAGAGATTTTCAAGTATTTCATGTACCTTGAAAAGTTCCAAACAGTAGTCCTAATATTGATATCCTGTCTTCCTCTTCCTTCCCTTCCTTCCTTCCTTCCTTCGTTCCTTCCTTCCTTCCTTCCTTCCTTCGTTCCTTCCTTCCATTCTTCCTTCCTTCCTTCTCTCCTTTAATCTCAGAGTCTAGAAGAAACGCTTTCCATGTCTGCTAGCCTTGATACTTGGGGTGGGATGAACAAGATCTTAACCTCAAAACAGAAAAGTGATGAGGGCTTTTCAGTCTGAGAACTTGCTTCTTCCTTATAAAGCAAAACTTTTCGCATACTGTTGCTTTATAAACATAATCATGTGGCTTAGAACCATTACAGGGAATCGTTCTAAGAACAACCAACCACAGTGACCTAAGGAGGCTCATCTGACAGGCAAGGTTCTCAGAGGGAAAATGAGGAGAGCACCTTGACCAAGAGAGGGAAGGAAGAGACTAATAGTAACCCTTAGGTTCTGTACCCTCACTTAGCCAGTAACCTATGGTAGGGCTAGCCTGACTGCATTTCTTCATTCAGCTCAAACACCCCATGTCTCAACTCCAGACCAACCCAGCTACTAACAAACATGGCCTGAGCACCCAGGCAAAGATGGGAAGGCCAGCAGCATAGGCTCTTTAAAAGTACCAGTAGTAAAAACTGACACACGGCAGTTCTGTGTTGGTCAGACAGAGGATTCTTTATAGTATTTGCTCTTAGCTTAGTGCTCAATATGGAGGCCATCAGTGGTTAAATTAGACATTTAGTCCCCTGGATTATTCTCTATCACAGACCCAATGATTTTACAGAACTGGTTTTCCACAAGTTAACGCTCCTTTCTTAGCCTGCATGGCAGTTCAGTTTGCCCTGTTCAAACACAGTAAAAAGAACCAGAGATCAGAACACACATTTAAGCATGCGTGCACACTTCAGTTTAAGCACCTAGGGTCTTTCCCATCTACTCTTGCAGAAATGGGTGTGCAATATATACATATACACACATATTTGTAATTTGTATACAAAGACACAATAAATATATACAGAATGTATATGTATATATTACATATATTTAATATATACACATACAAATGTACATATCAACCTCACCTAAACATTGAGAGCCTGTAGGGAGTGCTGGCTGACAATACATGTGCATATGGACGTCACATGAAGTGTACCAACCAACCAACTTGAGGTCAACTGTTGGGAGTGGAGGACTGCCAACGGTCTTTGAAAATCCAGACCTACAAGGCCATTATTTGGAGACTTGCTCACATGACACCATTAAGAAAACCTGGGAAATTTTGACTGGAATTGGGTCCCACCCTGATGAACAACACAACTAAGTCTAGTTTTACATGGAAGTGACTCACACACGGCAGGCAGCATGAACACTAGGCTACAATGTGGATAAAGCACTGGTGCTTAATACAGATCAATATTTGGCCTCAGGTTTTCCAGAGCATAAAGTCTTGGCATTTCAGCCCTCTGCCTCTGAGTATTAGGCACACTGGGGGGGTAAGGAAGGACATTCTGCAGAACTTTTGGCTCCTTTCTGCTTCTCTGCCCCACAGCTGGAAGGACTGGCCAAATCGAGATAGAATCGGGACTTGAGGAAGCGGCGGTAGGAATCCTTTTCCATTAGGTTGAAAATCTTCTTCTGAGCTTCGTCAAAGCATGTTATTGTAGGCTCTAGCATGTTCCGGCTTGTCTCCTCTCTAGTGCAAGAATCCAGGTTCACCTGAGGAGCAGAGACCAAGGGTGCATTAGACCTAGAATCCTGTTGAGGATGGGAGGCTGTATGCTTATACTCAACACGAGGTAACTGTGCACCCTCATATTCCTCCCAGGGATGAAACCAATGACATTTGGTTCCACCCTGGTATATGTGAGAAAGTATAGAAGGTTCATTCTGACTCAAAGTAGGAAGAGCAGTATTTTCATTTCTTTCTTCCACATGGGGGAAATTTATTTAAAAATATTAAGGAGGGTCATTAAAGTCACATAGATGAATGTTTTCTTAATAGTCTTACTTGAAAGTTTGTCAAGATTATAATAGCCTTCTCTACTGTTTTCTTTAACTAACAGATCTGACATCAAGTGCCACCCTGGGAACCTTCATTAAGACCTAGAGAGTTCTCTGTCATGGAAACTTACCTCTTTAGTTGCTTGAACTGAGATGAACTCATTATAGATCTTCTTGGCCTTGGGACTTAGCTTAGAAGGTGACTTGATTTTCTTGTACTCTTCACAGCTGATCCAGAAGTCAATATTCTCCTCACTGTATTCAGACTTCAGGAAAGCTTTGAAAGCTGCCAGCCCACCTGTGACAGGGGATGAGGAGACACAGTTATCATACAGGCTGGCAGGTTGCATATTTTAGATAAAGCTGAGATACTTAGGGGAGTAAGGTATGAGTTCAAGAAATCCCCCTTTTCCTCTCTCTTTGGGGGTCATTTTGAGTCAGATAGCCCAAATTTATGTCTGTTATCTAGAACATAACAGTTTTTAGAAGATTCCAGTTTTATTTAATGATTTCGACTCAAGAATTAACCTCTTTCAAGAAACTGCTGCTTCTGAAATATCTATGTGACCATCACCTGCCAAGGTGGGGTTGAAAGGGGGAAAGTAAGACTGATTAGGTGGGACGATCTCATTATTTGAATTCTTTCTCTTTGACATTTCCACATGGTTTCTGAATAAGCCAATCCATTGAATTTTACAAAGCTCTAGGAGAACTTTATAAACAGATTGGATATAAGACTAAAATACTTATATTCTGGCTCTGAAAGCCAGAAGGAACCTTTTTGCAGTTTCTATTAGACTGGCATAATATGAGATAACTTGTCTCGTATGGAGTAACTTCATCCTCAGCCTCTGTGTGTGTGTGTGTGTGTGTGAGAGAGAGAGAGAGAGAGAGAGAGAGAGAGAGAGAGACTTACATTCATGGTTAATTAGGTTTTCCAAAGATTCAGCCCATTTCTTGACTTCTTCTTGGCTCACCCTAGAGACATTACAGAAAAAACGAGAATAATTTGAATGCCATAACACAGAATTGAAGCGAAACATATAAGATCCTGAATAAAATGCAGATTTTTCTTCTGTCATTATGATGTGATCTATTATTGATTAAGATACCTTGTTCATTACATGTGTACATTTCAAATCTAATTTTGATTGCCATAAAGATACAGGTTCTCTAAATATGTATGTGGGTTTATATAGGGTCTTAAAGCTCAAGCTAGTCTTGAACTCACAATCCTCCCGTGTCCACCTTTCAAGTGCTGAGATTATAGTTGTGCACCCCTGCCCAAGTGATGGAGGCCATTTCGATTCAAATTTGACTCAAGTAAAGCCATATCTTCCTACTCTTCTCATAGGACATCTCTATCTCCTGAGAGTTGCACACTCACTAGATCTTTACTATAGCCATTTCTCTTACCTCTGGCAAGTAACTACTTTGTCCTTCTTGTTGTGGGAAGAATTATGTTCACAGGAATCAGACTTCTGCAGCAGGAAGCCCAGCCGGTGTTTCATATCTTTGGCACTGCAAGGAAGAAGACATTGAGAATTAACATAAAAACTACGGTTCACTAAAAAAGAACCTCATGAGAGTTTAGAAGTCCATGACTGGTGTGTAGGTCAGAGGCAGCTTCTTTATAGGAAGTTTTAATTGCATGAACTTCCAGGAAAAGATGATTCCTATTTCTACCTATGACTTATCACAAAACCATGAGGCCAAAGGTATAACACTGGTTTTGTAACTGGCACTCTTATCTTTCATGCTACCTCCAAAACCTAGTCTGTTCACTCACCATATTAATTAATAAGGCACCTTTGGTATCTTCAGTGGACGCATACTAGCACATGATGGGTCTCTGAGAAATGTCTACAGTAACTTCAAAATCGAGCACCCACCTCCTGGTAGGTAGATGCTGTTTTCCTCTGTTTCCTGTTGGCAGAGGAAGCTATGGAAGCCCTTCTGTGAAGTAAAAAGTGTTCGGCTTCAGCCCTGAGTGTGGTGACCAAGCAGTTCCCGAGGTGGGGCATACACCGAGAAGACACCCAGGTATGCAGTCTCAGCCAAAGGGAGTGGAAAGAGAGTGGAGGGCCCCGGTGCGCAGCCTGAAAGCTAAGCCCTGCTGCGTTTGTTTCCAGGCTATCGCCAGTTGCTGCCACTTGCTTTTCAAAAAAGCAGCCTACATTACAGGGAGATGTCCACCCTAGAAAGGGCAGCGGAGACTTTGGAACAGGTGAAGCAAAGCAGAGTCATCACTGAAGTGAGTAATTAATTAGAGCCATTTGCAACTTGTTACCATTTAATAGGCAACCAGGGTTGGACAAGGACTAACTTGAACTTTCAGCTCAGCTCCCTCACTCTTTCTAACTTTTTTTTTACTGTTATCTCTTTTCATATAAAAGTCAAGAAGCACTTTAAGAAGAGAAATGGTGTTTTAAAAGAAATAATAATAATGCGATATTCTCATCTGGAGAGAAAAAACAAGGGCACAAGGACATTTTAGGGTGGTTGATACAATGCTGGCTTATCTGCTAGTTTTCTTAGAGTGAATCTCTATATTCTTGGGCTGCCCTTTAAACAGTATTTTTCTTCCCCTCACAAGACTGTCTTCCCTTCTCTTCTTCCCTAACTGGTGACTATTCTGAGAAGATAAAATCCTCCCCAATGACAGCAACATAAAATTATGAGAGCTAGGACATTTCCAATGTGATGCTATGAATATATTGTGATTCAGTCGATATGGAAATAATTTCATCTCTCTGTGTGCTGCCTAAGCCTCAGCAGCTACTGACTAATGCAAGATCATTTCACAGAGCTGGACATATGACTGGAAAATCTTTCAACAATATAACCATAAAAATAAAAACCAATGTGATTTTGGAGGTCAGTGGAGACAGCAAAGCCAGATGGGGTCCTTGCTCGGCCACCACCTCCATGTGACCTTGAGCAGATGAGGTTCTCTGCATCCCCTGCACTGAAAGTGGGGTGCTGGATCAGATGATTACAAATTCCTCATTGAGGAAAACCATAGAAGAGATCACCCCCTGACACGGAGCTTCCCTCCTCGGGTTGGGTAACTGCTTAACTCTTTTGAGGACAGATCTCAAGTACATTCTTTCATCTGTCTCCTGGACTATTTACCAAAGCAAATCTTTGCCTGACACTCAGGTTTTACATGATTTATTTTACACATAACTTGACAGGATCTTGGAGAGTCAGTTGAGTTAATTCAGGAAATTAATAGTGAAGGTAAAAGGCATTTACTGCCTCTTCCCTTTCCACCAGACCCTCCTGCTTCATTTAAAAGAAGTAACCAGTATGTTTCTACTCCTGAGTGAGAGAGTCCATAAAAGGGAGACTCAGTAACACATGAAAGCATCTGATTTCCGGGACTGTTTCCAAATTAGAATCTAAGGTGAGTTCTCGTTGCAGGGAGACAAGAAAGGAGTTGGTATGCATGCAGATAACTTTTTACCTTTTGTTGCAAGATAAAGTCATATAATATTCACTATCTTTTTATGCTATTTTTAACTGGTTAGTGTGTACTATATACTCTCTGAAATTATATATTTATAGTTTTTTTAAGCCACAGACACATGTATAGCTCTAAAACTTTAAGGCTGATTTGTTATGACAGATACTTCAGTCACATCTCACTTTAAAAACTAGAGGTAGGGTAGAGAGATGGGGAAGTCTAGTTTTAAAAATCATATTTTATTTTCACTTTTGTTTATAAGAACACAGAGTGGGAGACATTGCAGATGAATCAGAAAGCAGGTGCTTTTTTGCAGTGTAGCCAAACTTTTTTCTGGAGTCCCCCCCCCCAAAAAAAAGATCCAATATATTATCAGAGTGCTAGCAACACTAATCACAGATAGAATGCAGATTAATATCTAATACATCATATATGACCCCAAACCTCCTATCGCTTCTTAACCCAAGCAACTTAATTAAAGGACCTGACTTAAAAGTCAGAACCCACCCCAAAACTAAAATCAAGTAAAATAACACACAGCTATCAAAATTTAAGGAGCCAGCTTTCCCAAGTCGAAGTATCTAGTCCCAGGGAAAAGCCATCGCTGCTCTCCAGAGCACGTTACTTCTAATTCCAGAGAACTCTGTGACTAAAACATGCAAGTTAACTGACAAAGTCTGTGCAAAACTTGAGCCTGGCTAGTGACTGAAAACAAGCTTACCTCCTCAGGCAGGAAGCCGGCAGACCTGCAAGTCCTTTGCACATCTTGTTTAACAGTGGGATTCGCAGGCTGGAAAGGAAGGCAGCAGGAGGAGCTGTGCTTTCTATTTTGAGCAGTTGCCTCTGCCTCGCAAAGACGCTGTCAGGCTCCTGAAGCTTCTCGCTCCCAAGCCTGTAGGGGTCTCTTTTATAGCCCAGCCACGGGCCGGGCAGCCAATCAGAAGGCAGGTTTGCAGGCTCCGCTCTGCTGTCTCACTCTGCCTCTCCAGCCCCTGAAGAGGTAACGAGGAAAGGAGTGACGCATCAGGGATGCAAAGCGACCCGGCAGAGAGAAATCTTTTGCATAATAGGCACATAGAAAACGGGGTTTTGCCCAGTGTCTCTACCAGTTTCTAAAGTTCTGATTTTGTAGGAAAAGGAAAAAAAAAAAATTCTACAGTGCTGAAAAATTGGGGTTTATTCGTGTCAGTAAAAACAAGGTCTTAGGAAAGTTCCCTACCCGAAGGAAAAATACCAATGGGAATTCTTCAGTTCCGTTGGTGCTGACCTCTCAATACACTTCGCCTTCTGGATTAAAAATATCACATTCTACATAGTCTAAGGTGGAGGTGGAGGTAGGGTTGTGATCTCTAGGCAGCGATTTGTGGAAATTGCCAGCCCGATTGCTAGCCTGATCAGAGGGATGCAGGTGGCAGGCAGCGGTATGCCAAGCAGCACAGCAAAACCAGTCAAGAGGAACTAAATCCAATAAGTCTGTATTCAACCTGGCTGTGGGATGAGTCTAAGTAAGGTTACTAAGAACGAATCTGGCCTGGCTCTGATGCCCTCCCCTGTGCATGTTTGCTACATAGGACCAAAGCAGGAGAGCCGATACAGACATCAACTCTCATTACAACTAGGTTTGTGTCCTATGTAATTCAAAGTTCTTTTAATTCAGAAAAGAAAGTAAAATAAAAAGGTAGAGAGAAAGTGCAAACAGATGAAATATATAGTTCGTCCTGCAAATTAACAGGTTCAGAAGGAATAGAATATTCACCCCCATAGATGCCTCTGAAGACCCAAACAGTTGGTATATTTTGGATGCAATATCTTGGACTGAATTCTTCAGGCTCATGTAAGTATTTCACTCCTTATAGTCATGATTCAAATACCCAGATAAGAACTACAGAGGGAGCTTTTTACACATAAGAAAGTTGTGACTGGAAGGGAGAAATTCATTTCAATATCTAACCAAAGCAGTTTTCATTTTTAAAGCAGGCAGGCTCCTGATCAGTGAGCTGGACTTTACATAGAGACATCATTGCTTCCTAGATTTTTGGCTGAGTTCAAGTGACACAGAAATATCAGATGGTTTGGACAGAGAAGGAAAGGCACCAGTAGATGGGTGTTTTGTGAAGGTTCCAGGAATACAAAAGGGAAAATGGAAACAGGCAATGCTCTTCCGTGCTCCAGCCTGTAAGACTGCATCCCTGATCCCCCACATCCTCTTTTAGTCAGAGATGCCCCATACACCCCTTTCTTGGTTAACAGAACAAAGAGACAGAAAATAAATATAAAGAGGGGAATAAGTATTTCTATGTAGGAAAATTCTCTACTCTTCTCCCATAAATACCAAAAAACATGACATTGGTGCAGGAAAGCTTTCCTTGAGTTACAAGTGACTCTGGTAGCTGTCCGTGGTAGTAGTGTGGGAGTGGTAGCAGTGCATGGTGAAATGAGAGAGACCTTCAGACCAGGGGGATGAACCGGGCAGAACTGGAATCAACAAACGATTAATTAAAATGGAGATAAGGTTACTCCACAATGAACCAGGGTTTTCTTTGCTTACTTGGGTACCTAAGAGAGTGACCACTCAAATAATTTCATTTTAGGAACTTTAGTCAAAGATCCAAAAAGATTTACTGATGCTTTACCACAGCAAGAACTTTATATCTCGGACCTAGAATAAGTGAAGGCTGACACCATTAGTTAAATATAAATCATTGCAACAAATGAATTAAATGGACTTTAAAAACAACCCAGTCTAATACCTTCATTTTACCAAAAGGTAAATAGAGTTCCAGAGAGGGAAAGTGACTGACCAAGGCCATAGCTTTTTGTGACTAGGGCAGGATGCACACCTAGGTTTCTTGACACATGGTGGTGGAGGCTTTGCACAGCACTATCCTGTCATTCAACAGTCTTATCAAATGAGATACAGTGTGTACACAGAGATATTTCTAAACTGTAAAGTGTTCAGCAAATACTTTTTATTGTCAGGTTATACATAGCAGATAACAAAGCCCAGTATTAATTTTATACACTTTATTCAAGGGGCTCTCACCCTGCCCAGCATTCTCTTGCTCCTTGAGTGCAGGATCTGCAGCAGACTCCTTACCTCACACTGCTTCTCCATGAAAAGCAGGTCCTTAACCCATGACTCTGTCCAGTCATTTCACTCACTTCTTCAACTACTCATTGCTTTCCTAACAGTTTTAATACTTTCAGAGAGTGTTTTTAAAAGCTACCCATATATTAGCTTATTTTTCACTATGGGACTTGCTGCTTGTATTGAGGAGGCAAGACTGGTACATCATGATACCCTGAGAACAGCCCAACTTTCCTCTCTGATAGGCATAAAGCATCAATTCCTATTATCTGATGATTTGTCACCCCTGCATGGTTCTTGTGTGGATGAGATCTATTTTGCATTTATTCATTTGTTTAAGACACATATCCTAAGCATCTCCTCTGTGCCCTGTGCTGTTTGAAGCAGGACCTTTAGCATGGTGCAAAAACAGGCAGGGTCTCCACCCTAGGGAGCTTTCATCTTGGTGGAAGGAATCAGAAAATTACCACATCAGGTAATTCTAAGGTTTTTGGCCCACACAGGAAGAAAATAAGCAGAGACTGACAGAGAGTAACTGGAGGGAAAAGGGTTTTGTTTTGTTTTGTTAGCTGAGATGGCTAGAAAAGCCTAGAAAATAATAGTCTAGAGGTGACTATTTTTTCAGTTAAGTTGAAGAGGAACAAAAGTGGGGTGAAAGGCCGGATGCTATGCTGGGCAATTGAGGACGAGAAGGCAGGCAGCAGCTTGGAACTGAGCTGGAAGGTGGATTAGATGCTGCAGAGACTGGGAGCTGCAGTCAAGAGGCTCAACCTTACCAAAGCAAAGCAGAGACCGTTGGTGGAGAGGCAAGGTTCTGGTCGTGCGGACTGCTGTGGGACAAAGCACTGAGGTATATGGCTGGCATGTGATGGCACGGAGACTAGTTATCAGAGTTAGCTGTTTGAATTCTGAATGAATAGTTTCTACCTTGAAAAACAGAGAATTGTTTCAGAAATTAGTATCTCTTAGATGCTGGGAACAGACGTTCTTCAAGTCCCTGGAGACTTAATGAGGAATCCTGTAAAGCTTGTGCTTTACAAGAGCTCAAATCATAATGGAGAAGAAGTATAAATAACTAGAAAGCCCCAAGTTAACTGCTGTTATTACAGGCGTAGTCAGCATCTACAGACTGCGGGAAGCGCTGGAAGGTAGAAAATAAACTCAACTTTTGGAATTTGGGACAGATTTCACAAAAGAGACTGTTGAGGAATGGCTAGAGACGTGGTTGTTGTACAAAGGAACCGAGAGCAATTTAATACAGGGAGCAATAATAATTGCAATATGATTGGTCACTAATTATACAAGGCACTATGTTAAGTACTTTACAGCAATTCTTTTTAATTCCCCACAATCCTTCCTGAGAGAAAGTCCTCAAAGGCCCTCATTTTACTGATGAGACATAGACCATGTGAGTAACTTTCCTGAGGTTGCACATCTGAGTGGTAGTGACAGGATGCCAACTCAGGCAGTCTGATTTCAAGGTCTAGAATGTTAACCTTTACAGTATCATAACCACGTAGGATGAAGGGAAATGTGCTGTTTGGAGACCAGAGAGTGCTGCTGGAGTTCTCAAGGTCAGAGCGTGGGTTCTGGTGGCCTAACGAGTGAGGCACAACCACCTGTCCTCAGGAAGACACTCAAAGAGACAAACAACAGTGAAAAGCAGAGAAAGGAGATTTATTCAATACAGCTGCTTTGGGAAAAGGAATAAAGAGGTCCAGTGCCCCCACAAACACCTTTGGGATCTTGACATGAGGTTTAGAGTTAAATAAAAGGCAAGAGGTGTGCATAACTAAGTAGTCCGGGTCAAGCTGTGGTCCTGCTGAGTTATTGTCTGGGCTCCTGACTCCCTGACAAGTTGGGTGACAAATTGTTAGAACTCTGTGAAGTCTTTTTCTAGTAGATAAGTTCTTCTTCTGACTGACACTAGGCTTCAGCCTTTTCCTTATTTAGCATGAGGCTTCTGGGGAAATTCCAACATGAGGAGGCCAATTATTTCAATAATCTGATGGCCAAAGGGAGGGACATAGGTGTTTCTTAAGAATGTCACCCCCATTCCTTCCAGGACGTTTATAAGAGGTGTCTATCATAATCGCCTCTTTGGAAGAGTAGGAGAGATGAGTCTGTGTGGGTAATCTTGTTTAGTAGCTTGTTGTAATTTGTACTCTTAAACACCACTGAGGATGGAGAGCCAAAGAGATGGAGAACAAACCCCTTGTAACACTCTGAGAATCAAATTGTTTGTTTGTTTGTTTGTTTGATCACTCTGAAGACTACTATATAAGTGATGATGGCTGTTAATTAGCCAAAGTATTTAAGCTGATCAGATTGTGATCTAGAGAAATCTTGGGAGACACAGAAAGATGGGATGTGAGCTGGAAGAAGGGGCATCAATTTTCTTTGAGGGTATGATGCTGGGTAGGTTAACGAGGCTCCAATGGATTGACTTACCCTGAAGGGCATTTGCGGACACAAATTAGACTGAATAGGTCTTAAATATGAGGTAGCGAGGGGACGTGCAGATAGCTGAGGGGGGTCTGAATGTGATCAAAATACATTATATGTCAATAAAAATGTCTTTAAAAAGATTTGATGTGAAGCCAGAGAGATGTCTCAGCAGCTAAGAGCACTGGCTGCTCTTGCAGAAGACCTGGGTTCGAGTCCCAGCACCCACATGGTGGCTAACAACCATCTATGACTCCAGTTCCAGGACAATCCAACGCCCTCTTCTGACCTCATAAGCATTGTACAATATGGGTGCACTTACATACATGCAGGCAACACACTCATACACATGAAATAAAAATAATAATAACAAAAAAGATTTTAAGTGAGAGAAACTCCACTGGAAGAACTTAGGAAGAGTGATGGCAAAATTGGTTTCCAGAGATTTTGTAAGAGTCAAC